CCCATTTCTGCTTGGGCCACTAAACCTAACCATCTCTATAAAACCTTTTTTTTTCTTCATAAATGATTTATCCCTTCTTAGAAAACTTCTACTTAAAAAAATGAATCCTCTTCCAGTGGCATTGTTTCTTTCTCCATATTAAGTTAGGCACCATAAGTACCTCTACAACATCTGATATGATCGATATTTTTCTTCGTGGTCAAGACAAATTAGCATAACGCGTGGTTCTTGCCTACTTCTCAAAAAACTTCTTAGCTTTTTTAGGTTCTCGTATTGCGTTGTGCAATGCATCATCTTCTTGTGGCATATAGATTTTTGATTGGGCCTTTTGAGAAACCTCTTACTCTATCAATTAAGTCCAATTAAACACCATTGGAGAAACGTTGTTGAGATTTTTCCTTTGCGTTTTGTACTGACAGATTCCTTTGTGTTTCACTGGTATATTGGTATCCATTTATTATAGAAGGCATCATCTTCTGGTGACAACATCCACCTGTCTTGTGTGCTAAGATATGCAGCACATATCAACAGCTTCAGATAATTTTTGGAACTTTTTTGCCACTACAAGTTATTTACAAAAAAAATGTTTGTTATTTTTAATTTCTTTTTATTTCAAAGTATTTTGAATGCGATTTATACTCGTTTACAATTTCTCGTATATGCCCATATCAATTTCAATTGAAAGATAAGTTAAAATACTACGTCTCTAAGCTCAAACATTACACAAATGTTTTTATTAATTTTATGGAAATACTCAACGAACATGTCTATCAAGTCATTTTAGCTTGTACTTCATGCATAAACCAAGTTTTAGTACCATTTTGAATGCAATTTTTACCCCACTTATAATGTCTCATATATACTTCTATTAGAATAAATTGAAAGCTAAGTTCAAATACTACGCACTAATCTTATAAATTACAAAAATTTTAAAATTTACAACCTGGGAGAATGCATGGAACATGGATATTAAGAAAAGGAATGCGGGTTGGATTTTACAATTCATGACTTCGCGTTTTTGTTACCAGTGAGGTTATTTTTGACGCTTTGTATTTTATTCGAATAAGAAGTCGTGATTTTGCAATGTTTCTCAAATCCTATGTGAAGCGAGTTCCTTTCTGACACGTTAGATATTATTTGACTTAAAGGGTCACGTCTTTTCAAAGGACCTCGCGTCCTGTCAAATGTGAGTTTCATCGATTTCTCTCTTCGAAACGGGTGCGAGGAATATTATAAATAGAGACCCATTTGGAAGGTTTCCTAAACATATTTTAAAGGAAAAATGGCAAAGAAAAGATGTATTAATATTGCGGAGTTAATCACAAGAGAATTGTTATAAAAAATTCTTGTGCATGTGGTGTCTAATTCTGTCGAGATTTCGTCAACACACAATTGCGTTGCAAGACTTTTCATGAAGCTGCAGATCACAATTAGATTTTTTAAAACATTTCAATGAAAAAGTTCGACGTCGTGCCATGGAATCAAGCCGAGAAAACTTTTCAAGAAAGATGTCTTGCTATTAATAATCATGTTGTTTTATATAGAGATGACATGCATAATTATTTTAGTGGAAGAAACTCGTCTGGTCTGAATTGTTTGAAGAAAGAAGATGATAAAGGTAACATCAATGCCACATATGTCTATGGCCTTATTCTAATTTGTTATGGGGAGAATTAAGAGATGAAAGACTTCGAATCATGAAAGCTCTTGATCTCGTCAATTCTAAGAAAATAAATTTAGAAGTTATTCGTTCGAAGATGAATCTGTTTTTAGGCTTAATGTCGTGAAGTCGTCACAACATTGCCTTCCTAGAACAAATCAAAGCATGTAATTGTCCTTAAAACTATCTGTGAAATTCATACGAACAAGTTTGGCAACCAATGAACAACTTTTGTACTTATTATTATTCTTGTTTTAAGAGCCATTAAGCAATTTTGTTTTGCAACATTTTACATCTGTACTGAATTCTAGTTTTAATAAGTAATTTCAATTTATTTATAACAATCTTGTTTTTAATTATCTATACAATAAAAGTAGAATGATTAAAATAAATTTGATAAACCTCTTGTTACACAAATCTCAAGGTCTTTTCAAAAGACGCAATACTTCAAATTCTCGAGGAGGTTTTAATATCTCGGGGACCTCGCGTTGCGCAGAACGTGATGTCATTAATTGAAATACGAAATTGAATTCCCTAACAAAGTGTATTCACGTTGGAAGAGACTCGAACCTCATAGAATGTGAAGCCTCTACACGCCTTTTGTAGGACACGGGTAATCTTATGTGTATAGTTTGAGGATATTTTTTCAAAAAAAAATCTTATATGGGATTACTCTTCTAAATTTTTTTGGGGTTATTAATCTAAAATTGCAAAAAAAAATTACCTCTTTAATATAAATCCTTTATGTACATCTCGATCTACATTCTACATCACTAATGTGGTAATGTATTTTACGCGGCTAATAACTGTGAATAGACTACTGATGTGTCAGAATAGGGCTGTGAAAAGGACATTTAGAACACATTTGACTTGCATGAATAATTTGAAACTTGTCTAACACCTACGGTTAAATCAAACCTTCAAGTGATTAAAAATTAATTAAAACGAAAAGAAAATCCAGAAACTGGTTGCTAATTTCTTTTTCTTCGTGATCTTTATTTTTCATTCTTTAAAAAAAACAGTCGTTTTAATGTCTTGTTTCAGAAAAGCATGAATGTTGTTTTTTTCAGAAGATGTCTCCATGCCCCAAAATGAGAATGACAAATCGAAGTGTCACGAAATGCAAAGAAAAGCTCGCTTTCATGATTGTCTTTAGATTTGAAAGGTTCGCTTTCCCCATGAGAATGTTGTGATAAGAGTCAATTTTATAACATTTTCAATCTTTTAACGTATAATTGGTTTTACGGGGGGAAATAGAGGTAATTTTAATTTTTTATTCTTTTAGAAAATAAAAGATATTCAAGAATATATGTTTGGTTTTAAATTTAGAGAATTATTTAAAAACATGAAAATAAATAAAATTATAAAAACAGTTTTTAATATTTTTATTAAAATTATTATGAAAATTAAGAAAATAAAAAACACGGATTTTAAAATTTTAATTTAATTGCCTTCTAAAATCACATTTTTAATGGAATATAGAAAAATACTTATATTATTATATATAAGTAATTAAATGTATACAAAATTATTTCAGAAGAAAGTTTTATTTTAATGGTATATTATGATACTAATGGTGTATTATATACACACGCGTATATAATTTTACAACTTCATCTACTTAATGATTACGTGTTAGTTTGTGACATTTAATGGTGAAATGAGACGTGACAGATCGTGAGTTATTCAAGTTTGATTTGGTTAAATCTCAGTTAATGCTCGAATTAAATAGACTTAACTTGAGTTTTTAAGGAACCGAAATGAGTTATTTGATATTTAATTAAAAAAACTCACAATCAACATGAAAAAATTAATATATTATTTTTTTATTTTTAAATTAAATTATTAAAAATATTAACATTTATATGTGATTTTTTTAAAATATAATATAAGGCTTTCATGTACTTAATATTCATGTTCAAGCTTGAACTGAACTTGAGTTTGACCTTCAATTGAGTTAAATTTAAGAATGTTTTGAGTAAAAGTTTTTTTTTTTTGAATTCGAGTCAAACTTTAATTTTTAAAATTTCGAGTCTAAATTGAAAGTTTTAAACTTGTAAGCTTCTGAGTCGAAACGCATTAATCTCAGTCTTCAACTTTTAGAATAGAGTTGAACTTAAAGAATATTTGACTCGTTTATAGCCCTAGTGACACTAATGTCTAAGCCTGAAATTGGGTAGGTATTTATTATTGTGCAAAAAATCGTAGATGTTGAATTGACCCATTGGATTTTGACTGGCACGTTTAAATGTAACAGATAGAATATATTATGATATGGCATTTTGATGCTGAGACAGTTCTTTTTGGAATTGGTATATATATATACGTGGGATGGGAATAAAGGGTAAAATGCCAAACCCCAAGAGTTGAAGTTTGAAGTGAAGCATATGACTGTTGAATTTTGGTCGTCCATGCGCGACACGTACTGCATTTTACGCCTAAAGGGTTTTGCATGTGTGTATCGCGCTTGGACGATGTAAATTAACATGTCATTTCATCTCAATTGTTGCTTATATAGACATAAAAGAGCTACTAACTCATTTGTTGCTTCGTTTGCCAGACCACGACGTTTGAATGGAAGGAGTGGCTAGCTACCACCGTGTTGGGAAATGCATCTCCTTGATGCTTGCGGATAGAGATGGCCTGAGAGGATTGACTAACAGGGATGGATTGAGTGAGGTGTATAGGAACAATGGTTCTCCTAAAATTTTAAATTTTTATATATTTTAATATTTTTTTTATATTTTTATAGAAAATTTAATTTTGTCTCCTAAATTCTTTAAGATCGTATTCCCTAACATAAAATTTGACACTCTACCCAGTGATTAGGTGTCCTTCTAATATAATTTAAGTATTTTTATATAGTTATTTTGCTAAGGTTTGAATTACCATTAATATTTTATTTATTTTCTGTTGTAACCCATTATTAAATATGGAATTGAGGCTCCACATTTCTCTAAAAAATTCTTAAATCGGGTGATAATATATGTTATAATCATATTGGAAGATTAACTTTTTTAAAATTAAATTAAAACTAGAAACAAAATGATAAAATATGTAAATAATGAAGACTCGATGTATAATTATACTAATTTTCAACTGCCAAGTTAGCTTCTTAAATATTAACAGTGAGTGATTTAATTGACAACAATTAAATAATTAGATGATCTAATTGATAAAATTAAAAGGTGGATAATCAGAATGAAAAAGTCAATACTTAAATGGTGACTTATATAGTTTACCCATTATTTACTAAATATGAATTTGAACCGTAAATTCATCTTGGTCCGACTTGGCACCAATCTGATGCAACCCGTGTTCGCCTCTAATTTAGACGTCTTAACCCAATCCAAAGCTGCAAATACAGGAAACGAAAGCTACGCTCTCTGGAAATTCGGGAAACAGAAGGCTGCATTTCATCTCCAACAACCCTTAATATTTTCCAGGTATTTACTTCCTTCACTTCATCAACGTTTAAGATCTATTACGACAATCCCTGAATTTAGGTGTTTCTTTTACAATTCTTAGAAGTTTTCCAACTTTTCGAGGTTGTTAATGTTTATATGTTGACAGTAATGCTGAATCGTGGAACAAAGTTAAAATCTTGGCATGGACCTCATAAATACCCGGTTGTAGTGCCAGTTGTGTTTCTGGTATCAGTCTCGTTAGCATTGGTATTGCTTTTCCATAAAACTGACGAAAACACGACTCCGGTACACGGACTACGACCGGAAAAGAAATGGAATAGGTTTGAGTCTTTGGTGCAATTTAATCCGAAAAGGGAATTCTGGAATGGGACGGATTTGATATGGCAAATACCTGATTCACCTAAGGCTGTTCTTTTTCTAGCTCATGGATGTAGTGGTAGAGCTGTTAATTTTTGGGATAGGTCTCCTAATTGCCCTAAATGTGTTGGTTTGCCGGAGGAAAGGCTGATCGTGCTTCATGCTCTTGCTCGGAAATTTGCGGTCTTAACCATATCGAGTGCAGGGAGGTGCTGGACATTTGGGGAGGAAAGGTTGATTGTCAAAGATATTATAACATGGTGGGTTAATAGACAGAATCTTGAAAAGCTTCCTCTTGTGGCTTTGGGGGCCTCTTCTGGTGGCTATTTTGTATCTGCAATCGCTAATGATTTGAAGTTTAGTAGTATTACACTTATGATTGCTGAAGGGTTATTTGATCACATGGACATCAAAGAGGACTATCCACCAACCCTTTTTGTGCACATGCCAAAAGATTTACATAGGCAACAGAAAATAACCGAATTTATGGAAGTTTTGAGAAATAAAGGGGTTAATGTTGCGGAAATTGAATGCACGGAGTTGCCTCTATCACCAACTTTCTTATCTGACAGAATCCCAGGTCTTGATCAGACTGTCTCTGCTAGATTGTTCCATTTATTCAGGGAGAAAGGCTTTGTTGATGAGAATGGGTACATGAAACAGGATGGGCGTGCAACACGTTGGAAAGGTTATCTCCAGGGTAGTAAGACTAATTTTCTGGAAAAACATTTGGTTCATCCTGTTGAGGAGGAGCTAAATCTTGCATTTGCATTTCATGAAATGTCAAGTTTGCAATCGGAAGAGATTTTTAAATGGTTTGAATCTCATATGGACTGAGCAATACACAATTGCGCCACATGCTCCTCCCTGTCCGACCAGAAAGTACCGACAGTGAAAAGTGATCCGTACATACAACTCCTAGTAACAATCCCTCAACTTGAGCTGGATTAAATTGTTTAATGTTTGAAGTTTTCCTTTGAACAACTAAGAACTAGGATGTAAAGCTACTACCTTGACTGAAACCAACAGCAGCATCCACTATGTCTTAGGTAAATTTTATCCATGTGTGTGAAAGAAAACAATCTTCATTACATTGAATACTATTATATATATAATTATTTCAAATTGCAAAGTATCTTCTTTTTTTCTCCTTCGAAGGGTCAGTTATGCTTGCTTTGAATGAATGACTTATCTTTACGTTATCTATATACTATTTGATTTGCCATTGTCCTTCGTAGTGCATCTGTAAATGATCTATTCTGGACTGGTCAAAATAAATAAAGAAAAAAGAACCCTCGACATAAAAGGAGAAAACAGATACTAATATATCTATACCCAAGTTGCAGGAAGGAATCAAGTTTTCATGTTACAAATGAATGAAAATACAGTAGCTAACTCTCAAGCACCCATGCAAGCATTATGTTTCGACTACCTTTCTCTTCCGATGGTCTCTCCTTTTTGTTTCTTCCTTTAGAAGTCTTAAGTTAATTGGCATTAAAATGTACCTAGAATTAGGTCACTAGAATCTAGAATTATGTTGAACTGGGAAGTCATGGTGAATTGCGGTTGCCTTCATTTATTCAAGCATTTTGTGTACACAGCTCCGTCCAGTTTGGTGTCTGCATCAAAACCATGTAAAGAGATTCAAATCGGCAACCTCATGCTATATGCTAGTGGTGATCTTCCTTTATATGAGATACAGAACCTGATTACTGAACATCATTTTATTTATTTAAAATATAAAACCAAATTATATAAACTCACTTGTTAATTGAGCCTATGCATCAGTAAGCAGTTTCTTGTTTCTTAATATATATGGTTTCTAGTCTATGTTACTCAAACTTTGAGTGTCAAACATGAGTATATTCAATTTTTATTTTCAGATTTCTATGTATTTAGGGAGTTATTGGAACAACATATCCCTATACCCTATCATAGATATACTATACATTGGATATGGTTGTTGGACACAGGTACTTCAAGAAAAATAAAGAGTCTAAAGTAACATATTTTCAAGTTACTGAAAGCCATTTCAACATGGCCTTGAGTGGGATCATTTTGTTGCCTTGCAGACATCATACCCCACCTCTATTTAAAGCACTTTGGATTGGTATGCCTTTATTTTAGCATTAATTTCAAATCTTCTATGGTCTTGCAAGTTGGTAACTCTTGATCTATTTGTAACTAAAGTAAATAAATTTTTGAAAAATGTTCAAAGGAGCAGGGATATGTTCTATTTGAAATCATCTTAGAGTGGATAAACTGAGTTTCTCTTTATAATATCTTTTTTACCACAATCACCCATAAAATTGTCAAGGGGTATTATCCTAGATATATCAAGAATTTAGTTTATTGTCCTTATACTGAAGCTGGTCCTTCCAACTATTACCACATTTTTTAGGGTGGATGCTTAACAATAATAAAGAAAAGCACGGCATGAAAGTAATGTACCTTATTAATTATCTTCTGTTTTTATCAACTTTATGCAACTTGTTCCTTGGTGAAAGTTTTATTGGGCTGCCGCATCTGTCATGATCATACGGTAGCCATACTTATTTATTAATTCGTTGAAATATTTACAATATGTTATCTTCAAAGTCGGACAACCAGTAAATGCTACAGACTTCCAGCTGCGTATTTTGGGATTTGTTTGTGACACCATTAACTGGTTGCAATTTAGCTTGTTTGTTATTGTTGGTTGCTGTTAGCATATGCAAATACTAAGACTTTTTTGTAATGCCTTCTTCCATTCTCTGGAATACTAGGGTAAACTGAAGTATTTACATTGGCACTTGAGTGTCCTGAAAAGTCATCTATGGACACAATTTCTCAATAGTGGTGAATCAGAAAATGATTATGTTACATGTATTCCTTGAATGGATGAGTATGAAAATGCAGGCTGAATGCTACAATGGTATTCAAGTGATAACTATCAAGGGGACTTTTGGTTCACAAAAAGATTATCATAGCTAATAATCTTCTCTAAAATTATATTCATAATTCTTGGGGTGACTTTCATTTCTGGATTACACCGATCATGATGAAATCGCTTCTAAGATAGTGATTCCTATCTTCATTATTCGAGTGCAGTAACGTGGAAAGCTCTGTTGACCTTTAGGCGGATATTCATTTCATAATTATTCCAATTTGAGCAAAATCGCTTCAAAGGGTATTTACATGGCACAATAAGTTTACGTATTTTATTTTATTTATGGGTAAATTATACGTTTGGTAACTAAACTTTACTCTTTCTCCTATTTCACTCACTATACTTTTAATCTTTTCAATTTACTGAATTTTATAGATTGAACTATTTTTTTCGGTCCGCCATTAAATAATTAAACGACGTTAATACATGGCAACTTACATCAAAACGACGTTTTGAATTGCTGAAAAAAATTAAACTTTAGACTAAAACGATGTCATTTTGATTAAAATACGATAAAAAATTGAAAGTACGATGAGTGAAAGAGGAGAGAGTAAAATTCAGTTACCAAACATGTAGTTTACTCTTTATTTATTTGTTATAGTCATTGCTAATGTTTTGTTTCGGTGCAGTATATTTAGCAACAGCTTAGGCTACATAATAGAGTAACTTGTTATAATCCGGCAGTGATCCCAAATAATTGTTCAGTATCCTTGTTAGAAATTTCTTACTGTTGATTAGTTTTCCATTTTTCTTCCTGTGATTATATTATAGTAAGCAGAAGGTATTAATGTATTCCTTTGGGGTCTGCTTCTTGTTTGATTAGTTCACTAACCTTTACTGTTATATGAGACAGATCCCATGCTTGTACAAGCATGTCTTTCTTTATGTTGATGTCATATATTTACCTTTTTATGAAAAGGAGACCCACATTTTGTATCATGATAATGGCACCCAACATTTAAGATCTTAGTACTACATTAGTTGTGCAAGCAATTGGTGATCAAAGATTCTAGTTTCTTCTGTTCCTCTCTTAAATATTGGTTAATGGATTTCCAACAGCTAGGCTATATAATAAATGAAATATCTGCAAGTTCCATTGCTCTTTATGATGACCATTTAATCAGCATTTACTTCTCATTTGTTCTTACTACGCTCCTCATGAATCATGTAATTGCTTGGTTTAAGACATGGATCCAGATATGGTAGATGCTTGTTCTGTTTGATTTTATGAATAGAGATAGCTTGAAATTATGGTTTCTTTTGCTGGTAACCAATTCTTGACCGAGTTTGACAGTGTAGAATATGTGGTACTGAAACTAATATTGTGGTAAGGAGTAGAGGTGGAGCACAATGGGGACTAGAGGGTATATGCCCCCCACAATACTTGGAAATTATCGATAGAATTTTTCAAATTTTTAAAAGTTCTATTTGGTTATCTCAAAATATTTGAAAATTTATTTTTCTCTAAAAAGATATCAAATTTAAATTATATATATACAATTTAAATTATCATAAATAAAAATTACAAATTTCCTTTTAGTTTTTATTTTAATATAATTTTTTATTTTCAAATCATGATTTCTTCTCTAATTTTTATAATATTTTCAAATAAAAATAATATAAGAAAAAAATATGGTGGAAGAAATCAAAATTTGATCTTCCTCATTTTTTAGTCATGAAAATTTTCAACAATTTCATGTAATATTTTAACTACTTTTAAGGGTAAATTTTTAATAATTTGTTTAATATTTACAAATTGAATGTCAAAATCTGTTACTATAATTTTCTTTTATTTTTCCAAAAAAAATCTAATGAAAATTAATGAAAACTATATTATATATCTACATTTAGTATATAGAATCACATATAACATAAATAGTTTGTTAATAAAATTACTTTGATAACTTATCTCAAAATAAAATATCTATTACCATTTAAAGGAAATTGAAGCAAAATAAATCTTATTTAACAATAGTAAAGCATAAACTTAACATTTAGTTCTAGGCACAGTATCGATCCAAATGAAATCTGTAGGCAATATAGATGTTCAAATACTAGGAACATAAAATCTAAGTAGCACACATTAGTGGATAAAATGTTACAAGAAACTGACACACTACAAGGTGTTTTGCTTAGGTCCTGGGCTTGAGGTGGCCTTCATTGGCGAGCTTGAAGAGACGAGCCTGAGCTGCAGCAGCACTGTTTGAACCAAGTGCCGACACAAAACTCTCCCTCACTTGCTTAGTCGAGAATGGGAACCTATGATTCACCATGGAGTTGAGAAACGAGGCGGTTCCTTCCCTGTAAAGCGCCCCAAGTCCATCGGCACGTGTGTTTGAAAGTGCTTGGGGCAAGCTCATGGTTGCTCCCAACCCAGGAACGCCGCTCGTACCGAATGCACTGCCTAAAGTTCCCCACCAACCCAGCAGACCCCATATCAGTGTGGGGTGATTCCTCCAGAAACTGAAGGTTACAATCATGAGTTGTTAGTAACTTAATGGTATAAGCAAGCAACAGATGGAATGGAAGTTACAAAGACTTACTCGCATGTACCGCCGATTGTTGGAGTTGGAGCAGGAAAGAATGGAGGTGTGGGAATGCTTGGAGTTCCTGGATCGATAATGGGAGTTGGCGGGCTCACAGTTACTGGTGTTGGCGGACTTCCACCTCCATATGATGGAGATGTGGGAGTGCTTGGAGTTCCTGGATCGATAATGGGAGTTGGCGGGCTTACAATTACTGGTGTTGGAGGGCTTCCACCACCGTAAGTTGGAGGACTGCCACCTCCGTACGATGGGGGACTCCCGTGCGAAGGAGTTCGTGGCGGTGTCGATGGAGTTGATGGATCATGTGGTGGGGTTCCACAGTTTCCACCTGAAGGCGTCGATGGTGTTGATGGTGTATGGTGGTAACCACCTCCATGAGAGGGAGGCGTGCCACCACCTGAACCGTGGGAAGGTGGTGTTCCATGTGAACCTGCACTTAGACCAAGTAGTATCAGCATGTATGTCATCGCTAAAACATCAGACAACTTGTGTGAAGCATTAAACCTGAGGGGGGAGTTCCTGCATGAGGGTCTGGTGATGGATAGTAGTTTTTCTGCTCCCCAAGGTCAATGGAGATCACAGGAACGACCAAGTTTTGGCAGAGCAAACCAGCAACCAAAGCCCACATGAAACAAGCCTGCTTGTTCCTTTCCCTCGCCATATCTGTGTTCTATAAGATTTTGTGGGTTGGGAAGGAGGGGGATGATGAATATAAAGCCCCAACGAGGTGAAGTAAATTGAAACAGGTGAACCTGCTGAGGTTAGTTGATGACAGCAGGTGCATTTATATCTATTTTTGAAACAATGCTGAGCTTCAAATGGATTTTCTTTGTTTTTTCTCTAACCAAGGACATCAACTCATGGAACATGTAGAATCAAGCATGGACTTTAATCATGATTACATATTTTTTACAATGGAAACACCATGTGCTTAGATTCAAAAGGCTAATTGTTGAAGCACAACACTTGTACAAGATGTCAAAACCCACTAGAAAAGGATGAGAAGATGATGGACGCAGAGCATTGAGGGAGCTTCATGAGGTTGAAATGGACCCACAGTTCTGCAAATGAGAAATTGATCTTAAATGGGTTTAGCAGAGTGGTAGGTGTAGATTTTTTTACATAAGTAAAGAAACACAGCAATGGTGGTGCCATATACTTAAGGCTAGTCCCGTATATATACCTGTCTTTCTCAGACTACCATTTGACCATATTTTAAGCTTATGAATATGTAAACAAGGTGTCATGGGGGGCAGAAAAATAAGTTAATAAAAGAAATCTTGTTTTCGATCAACGAAGTTGGTTAAGGTGGTAAATAATTTAATGTCGCTTAAGTAAATTTTGAGTTTGAATCATTTTGAATGTAGAAAATTCTTTCTAGGAGATTCATCCACTAAAGTTAGGTGTACGGCCCGAGTCGATCCGAATTAATTAAGGCGAAACCTTAAGAATAAGAAGGACAACCAAAAATAAAAAATAAATCTTATTTTCTCAAATTGTTTAAGATTCGAATAGTTATGTTTGTGGATATGTGTATGTTATTAATTATTAAAAAAAATATTAAACAGAGACAATCTTCTTATCATATGATTATTAAAAATTTTAATGAATAATTTAAAATTCCGATATTTTGATGAAAATTCCTATTAATATTGACGTGAATTTTTTTTCAAAAAATATTAGTATCTCTATCATAACAAAAAAAAATTAAGGTTGACATTTTTTTAATATTTTTAAACTTTCATTTTAATTATTTTAATTTTATAGTTAATATATTTAAAAATTATTTTATAAAATTTAAAATTTAAAATATATATTTTATAATTTTTTATTAATAATATATTTAACATAATAATAAATTAAATTTCAAAAAATTTAATCACTGAAAAATTGAAATATAACAAAAAAATTAAACAGAAAAAGTATTATTTTTTGTGTCAATGTTAGTATATCATTAATTCTTTGTTCTATATGATGCGTCTTGGAGTTGGGATTACAACCAGATCTTGGGATTACAACCAGATCAGTGTTTTCCATTTTCCCAAGTATTAACTGATGAGGGTAAATTATGAATTTCACCTCTTAATTTTTTCATACTCTTTAATTTGTCAATAAATTTTCAATTTAGTCACTACAATTTCAAATTATTTTTGTTTTAGTCACTTTGTCGTTAAATAATTAATGATATTATGACATGACAACGCCACTAAAATGATTTTTTTGGAAAAAAAATTAAAATTACTCCGAAAGTAATAGGGTAAACTACATAAATGAACACCCAATTATGTGCTTGGTCTCGAAATGACCACCATTTTTAAATCTGTGACAATATGACTATTGAACTATTTAATGGTTTTAGTATAGCCACTTGCCTTTAACATTTAATGGAAGTATTTACGTGGTAGTTAAAAATTAGTATAATTAGGGTATGAGTCCTTATAAAGTTACGTATTCACGACGCTGGCACCTTGCTTTGTTGTCTTCCATTTTGGTCACTACTTGTATATTATTTGTTTCCTTGGGTTTTCATTTAACGCATTATGATCATGATTCTATTTTTAATTTGTCTAATGCCTTAATTTGAGCATTAACTTTAAAATCTTTTGTTCTAGTCATGTATTAAATTTATAGATTAAATCCCCTAGATATTAATATTAACTGCCGAGCCAATTCTCACACTTGTTATCAATATAATACATATGTTATATAACTTGTTTAGGTTTAGGCAGAAAAATAAAACTAAAATAACTTAATTGCATTTGAACCCAAAATCAATTAGCAACCAAGCAAAGCCTTAACCAATAGGCTAAATCTAATATTTGAAAATCAATTAAAATATTTTTTATATATTATATATTATAGTTAATGATGGAAATAAAAATAGATAAGTGAAGACTTAAATCTAGGCCAATTCATAATATGACTCACGAGCACAATTTAAAATTAAAAGATAAATTTATAATTTGAATCTTAAATATTTTTCTTGCTATTATAATTTGAATATTAATTTATTTTTTAATGATTTCATATATATAATAATTCAAAAATAAATATGAAAACAATAAATTTAGTTTAAAAATATTAAAATATTAAATCAATTATAAATAAACTATTAGATTTATTTTAGTGATTTAAGTGTTGTCATGTTCTCAATTGGCCTAGATGTAAGTTCTCACTTATCCGTTTTTATTTTTTTATCATTAACTATAATATATCTATATATATATATAATTGATTCCTAAATATTATATATAGCTTATTGGTTAAGACTTACTTGGATACTAATTCATTTTAGGGTCAAATCCAATTAAATTATAATAATTGGTTTTCTGCCTAAAATTGAACAAGTTATATAACATATGTATTACTCAATAAAAAGCGTGAAATTAGCTCAATGGTTAAGGCATGTGCAGATTACCCTTGGGACCCAAGTTGGATTAAAATTTTATTAAATTAATTAAATTACATTATACAAAAGGTGACATGTGTCACAATTTGATTCGAGAAATAAATTTATTAAACTAAATTTAATTAGGATCTAATTAAAAAATAAGAATAAAATTAATCTTGGTGAACAAATTTATTAATTCTAAAATCTAGGGGATATAATCTATAAATTTAATACATGACTAGAATAAAAGATTTTAAAGTTAATGCTCAAATTAAGGAATTAGACAAATTAAAAACAGAATCATGATCAAATTGCATTAAATAAAAATCCAAGGGAACAAATTATATAGAAGCAGTGACCAAAATGGAAGAAAACAAAGCAAAGTTCCAGCGTCGCGAATACCTAACTTTACAAGGACCTACGCCATAATTATACCAATTTTATTAACTGTCACGTGAACACTTCCATTAAATGTTAACGACATGTGGCTATATTGAAACCATTTAAATAGTTCAGTGATCATATTGACGCAAATTTAAAAATGGTGGTCATTTCAAAAAACTCAATAATTGGGTTGTCATTTATGTAGTTTACTCAAAATAATATCGTTTTGAATCCCTATAAAATTCAATTTGCCCATTTCTTCATTTTCCCTCTTTTTGTCTTTTCTTCTTTCCTTTTCTCCATCTCATTTTTTTTCTTCTAAATCCTTATCACCGCTAGTGGAGACCAATCATTGTCAATGACGGTTGATGAGTCCAAAAATTCCTCACCAAACTCATTTCTCTCTTTTGAACACGAATCATTTGTCATTAATCGAAAGACACCACATAGCCCACGTATATAGAATAATTGTTTCTCTTCTCCTGTGAAACCATCACTTTTTGAAGGCTAGTTCATTTTATGGTTGAACAACAACTTGATCCAACCTTTTGAGTCAAAATCATCCTATATTCGATCTATAACTTTCATCGTTAGATCAACCTAGTTTTATGATATGCTCTTCTTCACATCGTTTCTCAATCTTTAACTATTTCAGATTTTCTATCGGAGCTTCGATCATCCAAGAACCCATAAACAAAAAGATGAGTTTCACGTGTCAATTTTTATTGTCCTAATACAAAAATAAGAACCCAGATTTTACTTCGAAATACTTTTCAGTGTCTAATTTTTTTTTTACTAAAAATATGTATTTAAAGTTTTATCAGTTATATTTTTAGGAAACTATTGTTTATTTTTAAATTTTTTAATGATAAAAATAATATTTTTAATTAAAAAGAAAAAAGTAAAAAAACTTTTATTTATTTAAAAAACCCAAATTTTTATTGAAATTATAAAAAAAAGACCCTAAAAACTAAAATCTCTCATTTTAATCTCATTATTAACTGTCGCTGGCCATTTTCAGCCACCATCGACATCGTTGAATGATCATCCACCCGTCACCACCCACCTATTGATTAATCGTCGTCTTTACTGTCACCTAAAATCCCTAAATCTAAAAGAGAAAATAACCTCAGTGACCGAAAATGCCTTATAATATACAATTTTAACAAACTTTTTTTGGATTTGCCAAAATAACCAACAAATTCGTAACGCGAACTCTAATTTTGCAACCCAGTTTCCAATTTCGCAACGCGAATATGTAAATCACATTACGATTTTCCAAATTCGCGTTGCGATTTTCCAAATTCGCAATGCGAATCTGTAAATCGCAACACGAATTTGTAAATCGCAACACATAAGTCAAATTTGCAACGCGATAGCCAAATTCGCAACAAAAAAGTCAAATTCGCAACGAGATAGTCAAATTCGCAACACTGATTTGTAAATCGCAATGCGAATTTGTAAATCGCAACACAAAAGTCAAATTCGCAACGCGATAGTCAAATTCGCAACGCGGAATTTCAAATTTGCAAAGGTTGTGGGTTTTGAGATTGTGTTTGATATTGTGTTTGGTATTGGAAATGTGGTGAAACAAAATTTTCTTAGTGATGAAATTGTAGTGGAACCATTAAATTTTGAGGTTGATAACAACGTTGTATATTATGAGCACCATAAACTGGGGTTGAAGAACTTAGTTGATTACTACCCGCTACTGGCCCAACTTCACTACTTCTAGGTTCAACAACATACAATGTAACATCATCTTCTTACGAAACACTAATGTAAGCAATGAATCGTTCAACATCTTCATTATCGGTTAACAAATAAACTTTACCTTTTCTCTGATAAGATAGCCTAAATCCACTTAGAGGCTCTAAATTCAATTTCTTTGCAACACGTAATATTAGAGTTTCATAAGTTAACTTTTTTAATGACAGTTTTAGTTGAAGATTCATGGGTAAAGGCA